ATATATGGAAGATAAGCTTTCTTATTTTCTGTTCTCTCACACTGCATTCCAGTGGAATTACTTCAAACATAAAGCTATCATTAAATTTGTGAGTCAGTTAGCTATTGCCACAAAAACACAGCATAAGAAACGAACACATAATGCTCAATAAACGTCTATTTAGCTTGTTCATCTGCAAGGGAGATGACCTAGATAGGTCCAAGCTGGGAAGGCACCGCCCAAGACTCTCTCATCCTCCATGAACCAGCAGTTTCAGATAGGCCTGTTCTTGTGGCAATGGCAGAAATGCAAGAAAGTGAACACAAACCAGCCAGCTCTCTTAAAGCCTGGGCTAGAAACTGGTGCACTGTCACTTCTACTTTATCTTATTGTTCAAAGTGAGTCAATTGGTCCAACCTAAAAGTCAAGGGTCATGGAAATATTCTCTATATCTTTTAGTAGGTGAAATTACAAAGCCACAAGGCCAAGAGAGTACATAAAGGAAGGGTGAAGAATTATAGTCATTAATGCCATCAATCTTCCAAGTATTCAAAGAGGATTCTAGCGTAAGGGACATTTTTTCTACCATCTACAGTGTTCCACTCAGCATTATCACCTTTCTCCCAAGGACTGTTCCCCGGGGTGGTGTGGAGTGGACAGAGCAGTTTGGTCAAAAGGTATAACTCTAAGGAAAACAATTTTCGCCGCTATTTAATAATTTAACTATTTAATGAAATTCTCATCCTCTGTCACTGTAGACAACCTTCAATATAAAAGTAACAGTAGTTACAGCCAAAAGAAAGAAAGAAAAAAACCACAAAGACAAGACGTACAAGGGCATAGAGAAAGAAGATTGCCTTTTGAGTCTCTTCTATTCTTCATTTCCTTCTCTAGACCCAAGTGGGATATTTCGAGACTTTGCAAACATACCATATGCTCCCAATTCCTTAATATTAAAAGCTGTCTCACCCTGCTTTATTTAAGATGATATTTATAGTTCCCTCTGTTCTATATGTGAGTAGTTAAGCATTTATCCATGATCATTAGCATTTATTAAAATATTTCTACCAGGCTTCATATAGCAAATTCTATTTGTGAGTTATTGCTCTAAGCTGCCATGTGGTAAAGCTGAGAATTAGGGGGGCTCTTCAGTAATATTATTTTTTCCTCTTTTATGTAGCTTTTCATTAAATAATAATAATATTAATTAGATTTCCAGAATGTGACCATGAGAGGAAGAGAGGATACAGTAAGACTAGTTGACGGGGAGACATGTGATATTGAAACAAGACACTTGAGAGTTATCAACTTAAGAGACGGCAATTACAAAATGTGGAAACTCTCATGCTAATTTTTTGGAGGGGTTTGAAACAAAAAACACATGCTTCATCTTATAATTTTTTTCTTCTACAGGTTAATATTAAAATAAAATCATGCTTCCTGGGCAGAGAGATGACTCTTAGTTGGGCAATGTCAACCCAGAAGAATTTTGAGGAGTCAAACTCTGAAGTTTTGCAAAAAATATTCCATTAAATGAATATTCCTCCTATACATAACTATTATTTATTAATAACTTATTTATTGTATAATTTTAATAAATATTATACTGTTTATTAATAATCTATTAATATATTAACTGATATCTATTTATCAACTAAGACCCCCACAAAATGTAGACCATTTATTTTTAAATTGCCAAAATAGAAATAGCTTCCTTGGTAACTTTTTTTGCTTTGCATGTGGACCAAAATCCTATAAGACTCTGGGTCTAAACCCTGCCCTCCTGGCAAGCTTCATCTCTCATCATTTGCCTTTCAACCCCTGCAGCCCAGACCCTTAGCTCTTTTGGTTCTTCGTGGTTGTGCCACACTCACTCCCACCACAGGGTCTTTGCACAGGTCTTGCCTGCCATCTGTAATGACGTTTCCCCAACACAGCTAGAGGAAAATTGGAAGCCAGGAGAGTGAGGGAGGGACTTTCATCTTCCTGGTAGCTTTCTGCTCACCGGACCAATGGAACCGTCACGCATTTTGGATAAGGATTTGCTTTCCCTGCCAGTATTACCATTTGTGAACTCGCAGAATGCCTTATTCTATGCATATTCCACATAATGTTTCTCATTACTGAGGAACTCATTTTACTGTAAAAGAAGTACAGTAATGGTCATGCCCACAGAATCACTGGTCTTATCAGATAAGCCATAATCCTAAAGGAGCTGACCTGAGAGAATCGTCAAAAATAGCCTATTAAAGATTCAGTTTTGGTGCTAGTTGTGAAATAAATGCCATGAAATACTGAAGTGCTATCATACAGAGTATAGGTTATGCATGAAGTCAGCAACCTACACATAGCGCTCTTTCTTCCATACTGTAATCCACAGGTACGGGAGTCAAGAAGAAGTGAAAGTAACTCTCCTTGCTATTACACCTAATAATCCATTCTGCGAATTTTTTTTTCTTACTGGAAAATTTTTGGTGCTACTAGTTTGGGTCTTAATTATCAGGGAGAAAGGCTTTTATCAGGGGACAAAAATGGCTCCACTGATTTCAAAGTTGAGACTGTCACCTGGCCATTTTGGGCTTTTTCTGTCAGGGAACCAATAGGTGAAGAATGGGATAATGGGGATAACTGTTCCCGATTATTAAGGACCAAATGGATTTTTGCTACACAATGACTTTGTCTGACACACTGGGAATTCTTTGAGATGCTTCTTACTTCCATATCAAATGATAAAAGTTAATGGGAAATCAATGGGAGAAAAAGGTCACTGAAGATTCCAAATCTCCAGTTAATCACCAGGTAAAGAATCACAACAATGTAAGGTTCTGACTTGAGGGAAAATGGAATGGCCAGTGGAATAAGAAAGGTGTAAATAGCAACTACACCCTCATAGTCATTTATAGAAAAAAAGATTGTAGCACCTATACATATCATCTTCTTTGCTTCTTACACACATTTGTACTTGTATGTATTAACTAATTCCCTTTTTACCCTCTTCCTCTTATTATTGTATATAAGAATTGTTGGGAATTGCTAATGTTACAGTTTATCTTCAGCTTCTCCTATATTCAAGTAGAACTGCGACTGAATAAGCGGAGTATTATCATTGTTCAGAGAGGGAGACAGAGACTACTGAAATTTTGTGTCTAGCTTTTGAAAATGGAGGTGAATGCATCTCTTACAAACGTTAGTTGATTCTTGTCAGATAGTGCAAAAACTTGTTCAAATGAGTAACTGAGTAACTGTTACTGGAGTAACTGAACTGAATAAGTATAGGGGCGAGCTGCAGCTGTTTTTAAGCTATTGTCTCTGGTCCAGATCTAATCTTCTGTCCTCTAGTTCATGACTTTGGGCTGAGATCCAGTGGTGTACTAGAGTCTAACACATACCAGCACACAAGAGCCAATTATTAAATTTTCAGGAATTTTCAAAGCTGGTTGTTAAATAGTCATTATTTAAAATTAAATTATGTAAACTTAATATTAAATAAATTATACTAAATAAAGGAAAAGAATATGCAAAATACGACTTCTTAATTACTACATTTCACTATTATCTAGTTTGAGATCATTTATATTGATTGTATCTGTAATATATCTGAATAATATCTTCATACTGTTGTATCATGTTAATATCTTGAAATAAACTATGATGGAAGTATCTACACCATAAATATAGGCTAGCTCTACAAATTTGGCCTTCTTCTTTTCTCCCAGAATCTACTTGTTAAACATATATCAGCATACCACCAGCTGAGACTCTGTAAATTACATTTTTCTTTTGTCAATTAACCATCTAATAGGTTCTTCCAATAGATGGAACCAGCAGAGGGAAACTGAAAGGCAGGAAGAAGAAAATTACTTCCTTCCTGTTCAATTGCTGTCATTGTCAGCATAGTGCCAGTAAAAGCACTTCACTCTGATGGCAGCAGCTGGCTTCAGTCTTCAGCTTCTTTCAAGCCCTCAGTACCACAATCAATTCCAAAGAGTAATAGTTTGAACTCTCAGAGGTGGGACGAGAAAATATGCCCGACTTCCGTTCAAATTTTCACCTTTGATCCAATCATTCAAGAAGAGACCTCACCTACCTTTGACTGTTCTTATCTAAATTGGATTCTCTTTAAACATAAATTACATATTTATTATAATATGATATTCAGTATATGAAATTGATTGAAGTTACACGCTAAATTTACTCAAACCATAAATTTCCCAACTCTTCTTGGTCCTCACATGTTCCCCTCCTTTCTCTTCCTGAGACTACTTCTTAAAACACACAGAATTATCCTATCTTGAGTTAATCACAAATAATGTTATCTCTTGAACTGTATATTATTGTCCTCCTATTTCAAATAGAGCCCATGGACACTTCTCCTTCATTTACTTGAACCAATGTTTGAAAAGTAATTATAGCAGTTTATCAACAACAAGCGATTTATTTAAGTGTTTAATAACCATTTTTCCATTAGTGAATATTTTAAACTACTGATAATTAGATCACACACCCACACAGTGACATAATCACATTACTCTTATTGTGAAATATAATACTGAAAGTTGGGCCAGATGGTCTTGTTTTCTTTTCTTTCTTTTTCTTTTTTTTAAACTAAGAATTGTACCTAGTTAGGAAAGACTTTTACAAGTTCTTACATGGTGACCTCATTTATTTATTAAACAACAATACAAAGTTAATAATGAAACCTTATTTTTGCCACACGTAATGCCTTGTTCATATAATACTAAGAACTTATCTTGCTATAATGTCTTTCAGTAACAGTGTGTTCGTGTATACACAGCCAATTAATGTAAGCAGAATTTTCTTGTTTTTTTATATTGCTAACGTTGATTATATTTATTGATTAGCTACTCAGAAGCACTAGTAAGTTGCTAAACTTCCATATTTTAAAAATGACTACTGTTAAATATAATGTAAATAAAAGTTTCATGTTTTTAAAAGGACGGTGTTAAATATAATACAACATTCTTTGCAAGTATAAAGAAATGCCAGCTTTCACCAATATCTTGGACTTGTAAACACAAAATGTAATTCATTCTTGTTTTCCTCATACCCAGTTTTGTAGTATTTTTTCCAGCTTCTCAAATGGGGAGCTTGATTAATGTCATGGAAGACTCACTAATATTAGGATAATTTAGCATCGAATCTTCTGCCTTCAAAAGGATCTGAAACAAAATCATTCCATACAGACAAATCACTAACACAGCAAGGAACTGAGATTTTAACTCTCAAAGGAAAAAATGGCTTGTCACCCGCAGTTCACGGAGTACTTAACCAGGACAGAGCTGGTTAAGTGCCTATAACTGAGTTAAGAGGAGACTATAAAATCAAGAAGCTTTAATAATGTCTTCTCATGTATTATGTTGAGAATCATGAGGAGTGGCTGGGAAATAAAATTAAACTAAGCTAATTAAATAATCTAGTGGCCTGGTCTATTCATATTTAGTCAAGATATCTAGAAATTCCCCAGGCATCTCAAGTTAACTTGGTCATACTTAATATTCATCAGTAAAATGATTTTTTTTTTCTCAAAGATGTAAGGAAAAATTTTTTTTTGTTTCTCAAAGATGTAAGGAAAAATTAGAACATTGTGAAGTTTTAGGTTTCTGTGGGGTTTTTTTCTTGATGTTTCTAATATGAAAAACTATCCTAGAATTCATAAAGTACCTTGATTTATTATTACTGATATTTTAATCATTGACACATTTTTTTTTTGCCTATTGCATAGATTTTTAAAGGAAAACTACATTTCTAAGGTAAATTCTGTATTTTAAGGTAATTTACATATCTATACCATGCAAATTACCTTTCAGTAAAATTCATCCCTTTTGGTGTACAGTTCTGCAAGTTTCAACCAACGTGTGGTTTCGAGATGTTAGGCTTCAACATCTCCTAAAACTTTCCTCTTGTCTCTCTATAGACAAGCTTCCCTACCTCCAGCTTTAGGCAATGCTTAATTAGTAATCTGGACTCACAGTTTTTCTTATTTCAGAACATCACAGAAATGGAATTATACATTACATGAGCATTTGAGCCTGCCTTCTTTTACTTAAGGGATTTAAGATCGATCCATGTTGTTGTCTGTATCAATGGTTCATTTTCTTAAATTGACAAACAATAGTTTACTCTGTGGATTACCATAGTTTGTTTTTTCATTCACTAACTGAAGGAGATTTGGATGCTTTCCAGTTTTGAGTGAGTACGAGAAAAGCATCTCTAAACATCAGTGTATAGAATTTTTTGTGTGAACTGAAGTATTCATTTCAGTTAGGATAAGACTTAGGAGTAAAACTTCTGGTTCTGTGCTAATTGTAAGTTTAACTTTAGAAGAAGTTGCCAAAATGCTTTGCAAGTAGCTGTGGAATATTATGCAGTCATTGAAATATTGACATATAACTACTGACATGAAGAAATAATCACAATTTTCTTTTCTTTCTTTCTTTCTTTTTTTTTTTTGGTGAGGAAGATTGGCCCTAAACCAACACCTGTTGCCAATCGTCCTCTATTTTACATGTGGGACACTGCCACAGCATGGCTTGATGAGGAGTGTGTAGGTCCATGCCCAGGATCTGCACCTGTGAACCCCAGGCCACCAAAGCAGAGCACAAGAACTTAACCACTATGTCACCAGGCCAGCCCCCACAAAAGTTTTTTAATGAAACTTGTTTTGAGATAATTGTAGATCTGTATACAGTTGTGGTAGATATTATAGAAAGATCCCACATACCCTTTAACTAATTTCTACCAATGGTAACATCCTGCAAAACTATAGTCCTATATATTGTCCAGAATATTGACATCAATGTAGTCAAGATACAGAACAATTCTGTCACCACATGGATCCCTGTTGTTGCTCTCTATAGTCACACCCATCTCCTCCTTCCACTCCCAGTCCCTGGCAACCACTAATCTATCCTCCATTTCAATAATTTTGTCACATCAAGAGTATTAGATAAATAGAATCATATAATATTTAACCTTTCATATTGGCTTATTTTACTCAGTATAATCCTTTTAGGATTCATCCAAGTTGTGTGTGTATTAACATTCAATTTTTAAGTAAAGTATCAAGTTATAAAATGCTATGCATAAATTAATCCCATTTTCCATAAACCATAGATTTTCTACCTAAAAATATGTATTATAGAGCAAAATGGTGATACATAGGAATAATGACAGCAAATAAGTGTTTGTATTCTTTTTAAAATCCTTCTCATATTTATGATCATGTGCAGGACTTATACAATGAAAAACTATGTAAATATAAAAACAAGGGAGTCAGGGGAGTTGCAAGAGAATTGTTTAGCTCCCTGTGGTTACCAGATAGTTAACACAGTGGGCTTCATGGTTTTCATTTTCAGATGGAAAGAAAATATGTTACTTCTTTTGAAGTGGAAAACATCTCTATGTCGCTAAATTCTAAAAGGAATATGTCATACAAATCCTTATATAGGGAAAACTAAGCTATCAATGCACAATGTATTTAACAGAGATTTAGCAAAGAATGCAAAATATTCCTAACATGTTCTTTTTTCAATTTTCTATGAAATCCAAGGAGCAAACACTAAATTTTAAATTGGTGCAGTCTTAGCTAGATTCTTAGATTTGTCTTCTCCCACCTACTGCTTGTCTCTTGCACGTTTTCCTACTCTGACCCTTTATTTATAGGAAAGAATGAGAGGAAATGAGTAGTCTAGTCCAAATTTGAAAAATAGGCCAAAAGATCTGCTCAAAGAGTTTCTGTAAAGCAGATTGATTGATAGCATCAAATTTAAATGACATTTTTGATTTGTCCTCTTGATAATTTGACTTGATAATTAAAATAAATTAACTGAAATTTGTTTAATGCTATTTTTTCTATTTCTTAAATACAGTATTAGAAAATATTATTGTGATTGTATCCTATTCTGCTCACAAATGTTTTTCTTTAGGAAACATAAAAACACTGGAATTTCTTGCTGATGCTAAATGCATTGTTTTTCTGGGAAATTATAAAGTACTTTAATTTTCTGACTAGATATTCTTTTTTGGGGGAGGTAATAATTCACTACTAAAACTTAATAACAGGCATCATGACAGTGCTAGCTGCATTGTCAACAGCAAGAAAGCTGCCAGATGTCCTTCATGACATCTGAGCGTTGAGGTCTCAGCTCTCAGTAATTGTCTAAAGAATGAAGCAACGCTACACGGCTGAATTTAAAACATCTAAATATCTAGAGTAGCTGTCAGTGCAACAGCAGAAAGCCGTCTAGCTATTGAGTTTTGAGATTAGCATTCCTAACATGGGATTATGCAGCAATGTTAGGAAAAAGAAGTTATATTTGAAAATGTCATCAAAGAGAATTAAAAATAATTTCAGCAAATAATTGCTAAGTAGATTTTGAGCAAAGCAGGCTCAGTAGCACTGTATAATTAGCTAACTTTATTAGCCAGCAAACATCTAAATGCAAAAGAATATTGAGCGACCAAAACAAAAGGGTGGAAAGTTAGTGAAAGCACAACATGGACAATTATAAAATTAGTTTTTACAAATGCCACACATAAATTATAAAGTTATTGTTGCCCAACATGTGTTTTCACTGGATTGTGCATTCTGTCTCATTCCTAAACTGCTTTGGGAGAAATCAAGAACTAAAGTTTATGCCCAACGCACTAGTTCCCCCTTATCTGTAGTTTCGATTTCCGCGGTTTCAGTTAACTGGTTCAAAAATATTAAATGGAAAATTCCAGAAGTAAACAATTCATAAGTTTTAAATTGCACGCTATTCTGAGTAGTGTGATGAAGTCTTGTGCCATCCTGCTCCATCCCTCCTGGCATGTGAATCACCCCTTTGTCCAGCGCATCTACGCTGTATACATTACCTGCCCGTTAGTCAGTTAGTAGCCCTCTCGATTATCAGACGGACTGTGGCAGTGTTGCAGTACTTGTGTTCAAGTAAACCTTGTTTTACTTAATAGTGGCCCCAAGGTACCAGGGTAGTATCACAAGCAATTCAGATATGCCTAAGAGAGCCATAAAGTGCTTCCTTTAAGTGAAAAGGTGAAATTTCTTGACTTAATAAGGAAAGAAAAAAAATCTTCTGCCAAGGTTTCTAAAATCTACAGTAGCTTTTATTGTGGTATAGTACTACAATTGTTCTATTTTATTATTAATTATTGTTGCTAACCTCTTACTCTGCCTAATTTAGAAATTAAATTCCATCATAGGTATATTTTACAGGAAATAACATAGAATATATATAGTATTTCGCACTATCTGAATTTCAGGCATCCACTGGGGGTCGGGGAACATTTTCCCCCAGGATTAGGGAGGACAACTGTATAGGAAAATATTTTCTCAGATTTAAAATCACATGACTCCAAGATACAACATAAACTGTTACTAACCAAAAATTATAAAGCACATCTTGTGTTCTAAAAGAGAAAATGAAGTCACGATAACATTCATGTCCAATAAACCGACATTTCAAGCGTAACGCTTACTAGGCTGAGTTTGTATCCATCCCTCTACAGTATGACATTTTGACATACATCCTTCTTTAATTTGCTGAGGAAGTTGGATGTGGCTTATTCCCATGCCAGGCTTTCTTCACAGAGTACCTCGAGTTGCTCACTGTAGATGGATCTCAACTCCCTCTCTCCATTCCAAGTTGAGTGAAATGAAAAGAAAAAGGGAAAGAGAAGATGTAATGGATTGAAACGTGTCCCCCAAAAATTCATGTCCATTTGGTTCCTTAGAATGTCACTTTATTTGGAAATAAAATCTTTGCAGATGTAATTAGTTAAATTAAGATGAGGTCATACTGGATTAGGGTAGATTCTAAATCCAATGCCTGGTGTCATTACAAGAAGAGGAAAGGACACACAGCAAGACACACACGGAAGAAGGCCATGTGATGGTAGAGGCAGAGATTGAGTAATACAGCTACAAGCTGAGGAACGCCAAGGATTGCTGGCAACCATGAGAAGCCAGGAGAGAGGCATGGAAGAGATTCTCTCTCAGTGCCTCCGGAAGGAACCAACGTTGCCCATACTTTGATTTTGGACTTTTGGCATTTTGAACTGTGAGAGAATAAGTGTCTGTTATTTTAAGCTCCCCAGTTTGTTATAATTTGTTATACTAGCCCTAGCAAATAATACAGAAGGTAAAAGAATCAATCTGAGAGCAAAACTGAGTTGGTCAAATAGAGTCATGATTTTCTTTGTTTACCAAGCTCTCATCCCCCTGACACCACCTAGCTTCTACCTCTAGGGACCTTATCCTGTCATTCTGTCTTAATTTTCCACAGTCTCCCTCTGTGTTTCAGCAGTAGGTATGGAACGCTCCTAAATTTACATTCTCATTCTCCCACTGAATCAGAACCTCTATTCCTTCAGTACAGCACATGCATCTTCTCTTTAAACTATATTTATATTTTACCTATGACAAAACAAAATTTTAAAACTCCATAAAATAACTTCCAGGGGCTACACACACCACTCATTTTCTCTATAAAAAATTTTAATAATACTATAAATGTATCTTTGTATTCTAATTTTAAATTAAGCCATATAAAGTGAACATTCTGTCATTTGATAAATACTGATAACAGTTTGTAATAGCCACATATTTCATCTGATAGATATACCATAGTTTACTCAGTTATGGGAATATTAGGTGGGTATCCTTTTTGCCCATTGTAAATGATGATGCAATAACCAACTTCACACATCAATCTCTAACCACATATCTGATATTTTCCTTGGTATACCATTCTAAAAGTTGCATTTCTGTCTCAAAGGGTATGAATGATGTTAAGGCACTTGATTTGTGTTACTAAGCTACTTGAGAAACACTACACCAAGTGTTAACCAAGCCTCCTCATCTTAGTGAATGTGATTTAATGTATATATTAATGTATGAATTATATACAGTATTGACAGTTCAGTTTTCTCTCTTTTTCTTGATCAATCTGGCTAGAAGTTTGTCAATTTTAATAATCCTTTTAAAGAAACAATATTCACTTTGTTGATTTTATTTTATTTTTTATTGTGGTAACATTGGTTTCTAACATTATATAAATTTAAGTGTACATTACATCATGATCACCACCCAAAGACTAATTACAATCCATCACCATACACATGTGCCTAATCACCCTTTTTGCCCTCCTCCCTTTCTCCTTCCCCTCTGGTAACCACCAATCAAATCTCTCTACGTGTTTATTTGCTGTCGTTTTTATCTTCTACTTATAAGTGAGATCACACAGTATTTAACTGTCTCCCTCTGACATAGTTCTCTTAGCATAATGCCCTCGAGGTCCATCCATGTTGTCACAAATTGCAACATTTCATCTTTTTTAATGGCTGAGTAGTATTCCATTATGTATATATACCACATCTTCTTTATCCATTCGCTCCTTGATGGGCATCTAGGTTGCTTCCAAGTCCTGGCTATTGTGAATAATGCTGCAGTGAACATAGGGGTACGGGTATCTTTATGCCTTTGCGTTTTTGTGTTCTTTGGGTAAATACCCTGCAGTGGAACAACTGGATCATATGGTAGTTCTATTCTAAATTTTTTGAGAAATCCCCATAGTGGCTGCACCAGTTTGCATGTCCACCAGCAGTGTATGAGGATTCCCTTTTCTCCACATTCTCTTCAACACTTGTTATTTCCTGTCTCATTAATTATAGCCATTCTGAAAGTTGTAAGGTGATATCTCATTGTAGTTTTGATTTGCATTTCCCTAATAATTAGTTATTTCAAACATAGTCATCTGTAGTTTTGATTTGCATTTCCCTAATAATTAGTTATTTCAAACATAGTCATCTGATAGCTTTATGTAGTTTCCCTTTGTATGTAACTTATTCCCTTTCTCTTTCAACATTTAGGATTCTCTCTTTATCTTTGTTTCTTGACATTTTAATCATAATGTGTCTTGGTGTGGGCCTCTTTGGCTTTATATTCTTTGGTGCCCTCTGTGCTTCCTGTACCTGGATGTCTGTTTCCTTCCTTAGGTTAGGAAAATTTTCAGCTATTACTTCTTCAAATAGCTTCTCTTCCTCTTTGTCTTCTCTTCTTCTGGAATGCCTATAATACAGATGTTAGTGTGCTTGATGTTTTCCCAGAGGTCCCTTAGACTATCCTCCTTCTTTTTAATTCTTTTTCTTTTATCTGTTCAGCTTTAGTGTTTTCCCCTAGTCTTTTGTTCAGCTTGCTGATCCATTCTTCTGTATCATCTACTCTGCTATTGAGTCCCTCTAGTGAATTTTTCACTTCCAGTATTGAATTCTTCATTTCTGATTGGTTCTTCTTTATTTTTTCCAGTTCTTTGTTGAAGTTCTCACTGAGTTCATCCATTCTTCTCCCAAGACTAGAAAGCATCCTATTAGTTTGTACTCTTTGTCAGGTAGATTGTTTATCTCTGTTTCATTTAGTTCTGTTTCTGGGGTTTTGTCCTCTTCCCTTACTTGGAACATATTCCTTTGTCTCCTCACTTGCCTCTTTCTCTGTGCTTATATCTATGTATTAGGTACATCAGCTACATCTCCCAGTCTTGGAGTGGTGGCCTTATGTATTGATGCCTTATGAGGCCCAGCAATGTGATTCCTTCTTGTCACATCTTCCAAATGTTCCAGAGTCTCCCCTGTGTGGACTTCATGTGTCTTTCTGTTATAGCAGGGTTCCTCTTGCTGCAGGTGTGTGGGGAGGCTAGGCTGTCCCACTGGCCAGCTGGTTGTAATGCTCAGTTGTGTGTGACTGCTGTGGTCACTTCAGTCACTTTGTCAGGCATAGAGAGCCCCAACAGAGTTGGCTGCAAGGTCTAATATTACATTCTTGTTGCAGTTTTTCTGTTAAGTGAGTAGGCCATCAGCATGGCTGGTTGTTAGGCTAAGGGGCTTAAAATTGCTGTAGGCCTCCAGCCTGCTAGGTTGTTGCCAGCTCTCTCAGAAGTGCAGCTGGATGGGGCCGGCCCCAGGCATGGGAGCACACAATTGTTTCAGGCTTTGGAAGGTGGGTTCAATCCTCTCTGTGGCTGTTTGATAAGCATAAGTCTGCTACAGCTGACAAGCCCCACTGCCCACAGGGCCATGCACCCCCTCAACACAGTCCTTCCCTGATCCACTGAAGCAGGCCCAGTCGTCCTGCTGTAGAGGCCTCACACTCCCTGCCCTGCAAATGTGGACCAACTTTCCCAGATGCAGAGGTTCCAGGCACCCTGTTTCTGTGGGCCCACAAGTTGCCTAAGGGCTTGTTATAGGGTGGGGCCAGTTCTTAGGGTGGGCTGCCTGCCCTGGCTTACCTGGATTAAATCAGTGCTCTAGTGGATGTGGCATATCCCTGGGCTAAAGATCAGTGGAACGCCAATGACCTCTGCTAGTGTCTGTGTCAGCATGCCTGTACTAGGTCACAATAATGGCTGCTGCCAGTGTCTCATTCCCTGGGGAGGTGGTCCCAGCCTGGAGTGGTCTCACCCTTCACCAAGATGTGCCCAGAGCCTATCAAGTAAGTCTCTTTTCACCAAAGCACTATGCACCTTTCTTCCTAGTGATTTAAGTTTGCTTTACAAAATGAATGAATTTGTGCCTAGGCCCTTTAAGAGTAGGCTTTTTCCCCTTGTGTCCAATAGTTTTTCTGGGGGTATTCTTCATTGTTGTTAATAGCCAGCAAAGCCAGATGTTATGACATTTGTCTCAGTTGTGCTGAGTCCAAAAGCTGCTTATTATCCCACACTTGTCCAAGGCAAGCTCTGTACCTTAAGATTTCTCCTGATTGGCTGTGAAGCGCCATGGCTAGAATGTGGCTTTTTTCTCTCCAGAAAGGAATTTCTGCCTCTTCCACCTCAGTCAGCACTGTCCCTTGTTGTGGGGGTTCTTTTCGTTCAATTTTCAATTCTCTCTCAGGGGGAATTGTTGCAAGAGTAGTTGTAAATTTGTTGTGCCAGTGGGAGGGGGTGAGTTCAGAGTCCACCTTTGCTGCCATCTTGACTCCGGATCTGACTTTGTTAAGTTTCTTTTTCTTTTCCATTCTCTCTATCATTGACTTCCACTCTAATTTGTATTATTTCCTTTATCTACTTCCTTGGCTTTAATATATTCTTCTTTTTTATTTCTTAAGGTCGAAGCTTAGATCATTGAAGTATAAAAATATTTTCTAATATATGCGTTTAAAGACACATATTTTCCTCTACCTACTGCCCTAATTGCATGCCATAAAATTTGGTATGTCATATTTTCATTATCATCCAGGTTAAAATATTTTCTAAATTCCCTTATAATTTCTTTTTGACCCAGGGATTATTTAGAAATGTGTTGTCTAATTTCTAAATATTTTGAGAATTTTCTAGGCACTTTATTTTTATTTAGTCTAATTCAATACTGCTATGATTAGAGAACATACTCTTCAAGATTCTGATCCTTTGAAATTTCTTGAGAGTTAATTTTGTTGTCCAGTAAAAGTTCTATCTTGGTAGATGTTCCATGTAGAATGATCTCCATTGTCCACTGCTATGATAAGAAGGAACCCATTTATCTGTTTTAACTAGCATAGAACCTTCTAGTTCCCATCTTTAATTTTGCTTAATTTCCATTTTATAACCAAACTCAAAAAATCTATCCAGTCATCCTACTATAAAGTCTTAACAAATTCAGAATA